TAATAGTTTAATAACTCAAATTGATCATTTTATAAAACCTAAATCATTATAGGAATAAAATTTTTCATTGGACCAATTTTAATGAATTTTTTATTAATTCCAATGAATACTTTTATTGTATTTACGTACATTTTTGGTTCAGTGTAGCAACGATTTTCACTATGACATAGGAGCATGGGTTATTTCATATTAGAAATACCCTGGGTATCTCAAATTACGATTTCCACGCCTTGTGGTTATATGATCATCAAATCTAACTTCTGTAATTAAACAATTCAACATATCCCGTATTTTTCTATTAGTACGACCTTACTCTATCACTACATGAAGAATTTATTGCCAAATATTTATTTATTAAATAATAAACAAGATTTAAAGGCTCATCTCAATGAAACTTGAAGATATCAAAATTCTAAAATCTTTTTTTACAATGACTACAGGCATGATCTAATAATGAATTTTCTACTAAATAGTTTTCGATCCAAGAGCAATAAATTCATGGAACCAATAGATAGCGTTTATTAGTTTAGTAGAAATGCCGCTATCTCATATTAGGCGCCTATCTCATGATAGGAGGCTTTCCTCTAATACTTTGATTAAGGTATTTCCCTTCGAAACAAATCAATTTTGGAGACGAAAAACGGCAGGAATTAAGTTTAACATCTAATATAAAGATATGTTTTTATTGAATTCTCAATTTACTGTATTTTCTAGTATTTATTGTATTCAAATTTTAAAAACATAAAATTTTATTGCAGATACGCATTTGAAGGAATAATGCAGGCTGTCTATCTTGATCGATCAAATTTGGTATGCTCGGAAATTTATTGTTACTTACGTTCGCCAAATAAGATTCTCTCGATGATGGGCATGCCAGCAGTGTCATTTTACGTAATTTTGATAATACTTTGCTGTTGGATACTCTTTTTACACATAATCATCTATACTGTATTTCGTTGGAAAATTTATCATGCAAAAAAGTGATGTATTTGGTTAACATTATCTTAAACGAGAAAATATTTTCGAAATATGTCTTAAAAAATTATCTATTGAATAAGTTCTTTTTGCAACAGTGTGCAGAATGTTAAGAAAAATTATGGCCTAAGTATGTAAAAGTTGTATAAACTTTTTATACTCTGCGTTATATAAATATATATATATATAGTATAATAAACTCAATTATAAAACATACAGAAGATTTATTTTTATAACAGTAATTACGACAATATAAAGATTAATATTTTTTATGTTAAAATAAACTAAATATAATAGTATAATAAACTAATATATCTTAGGATATAAGTGAATAATTAATGCATCGACTTAACAAAGTTGTTGAATAACTAGTCCAGAATTTCCATTTAACTTATTTTTTATATTAATGACAAAATAATAAATGTCCGTATAAATACAAAAGTATATCTATAACAATGTGATAAAAAACATAAGTCATTGTAATAACGACAATTATAATAACGATTTATAAGGAACACATAATAAAAGATTTTTTCTGCTGATTAATTAATTTTCAAAGGATTGAAATAAAGATGATTGTTTTATAATATATTTACTGTTTCAACAATCAGCAGTTCGAAACTGTTTTTACTATATTTTTAGAAAATATATTAAAATAATTATCTCTCTCAAAAACACAGTACTTCTGCATTTTTAAATCAACGTTTTCATTTAATTTGCAATTTGCATCGCTCTTTTATTGAAGGACTGACGTAATCCACACTTTTAATCCTTGATGTATTTACCTATTAAAACCTCGAGTGAATTAAAATCGTCAGCTATCAAGCACTGTGACGCAATTGGAATATGATCCGATATAAGTTCAAGTAGTGTATCTTTCGATAGAAATGTTTTACTGATTAACATTACTTTATCACACAGTATTACGTAGGCTTTACATATCATTTCGCATGAATTACATTTAAATATAAAAATAAAATGTCAATATAAACCTTCGCAGTTGTTGAATATATTTATAAAGCGATAAAATATAATTAGCAAACAATCTCAACTCTGGATTTGAATCCTCTTTAATATGCAAAGTATGTACAAACTGTAATATGTACTTACAATCCGCACTATAAAGAAGACCCAAAAACAGACTCAAAACATTTGCAATTAAATTTGTTAGTTAATATTCAATTGTTTACAAATTATATCTTATCACTTTATGAATATATTATTTATGCGTACCAACAACCGCGAAAACTCATACTGTCAGTGTACTTATATATTCGATTTATTCTTGAAATCATACAACTATTATACCTATTTTATCTTTACATTAATAAAAATTAAATATAATCATCGCAGTATCCATTAACCAGTATTGCGTAACGTAACATATACATATTCCTATCTAGTTTCGATGTCCATTAATATGAACTCGAAGATGTGCAGGGTGTTACAGATACATACTAGGCAGTACGACGGGTTACGCGGCAAACTTTGCATGGCCAAGCGTGGTTTAATAGACAATGACAGTGACTTTATAACATGAACTTTATAATATAAATAATAAAACTTTGTAGTATAAACTTTATAATGTATAAAGTCACTGTCATTGTCTATTAAACCACGCTTGACCATGCAAAGTTTGCCGCGCAACCCCCCGTCGTACTGCCTAGTATGTATCTACAACACCCTGTACATACATACATACATTTGTCACGTAGTATACACACAGTCTTATTCATTCGTGACTATTGCGAGATAATTGGATAATTTATCAAAGTTGTGTGTGTGTGTATACAAAAAGAATATATACCGAGCGCTTAAAATTCATGGCACTCTCCTTCTGTTATGTATACCACTTTAGATAACCTTTAAAATAACAAGAATATACGATCAGACACAACCGTACTTAAAATATCAGAAACGTACAAAAAATAACCTTCAATCCGTTTAAGGCCACAGCACATACTCTTGCATAACGCATAATATATAGTGCATAAGTGAATCAACTAATCAGAATCTTTCCTTTCCTCCCATTCCATGGAATAGAAGAATTTTGATTGGTTGATTCCTTTATGCACTATGCATTATGCGTTATGCAAGAGTGTGTGCTACGGCCTATACTGTGTACATTGTCCCTGATGCACAAGCAATGCTGACAGGAAAGTATAAATTTCGTGCTTGTAATCGCATATTCCTATTGCATATTACGGACACAAAAATGTGCTCATTTGAACGTAAACTTTTTTATTCGCAAATTTATCGTGCTCATAGAGTGTACAGAGTACGATTCGATTCTCACAGATGTTGTATCCGCATTTAATGGTTCCTATTGTAAATTTTAAGTAGGTAAATAAGTGACTAATAGAAATAATTGTTCATTCTGATAGTTTCTAATATTTTCAATTAATTACTTCATTATTATTCGATATTTTGAATTATTTTAATATTTTGAAAGCTACACATTCGGTAAGTGTGACTTCGCATTGAGAGAAATGATTTTGTTATAGGAACAAATCAAGGGAAAGCAAATGTGATATTTGTTAAAAAAAACAATCGATTTGTTACGATTGCAAATTAATTCGTCGATGTAACAAATAATCAAGTATCGCTAGCAAATAAGAGGCTCATATATATATATATATATATAATATAAAAGTCGTAGACGATTGCAGGGTCTCAAATCGTAAGAAATTGACTAATTCTAGTCAAGTATTCTCCCTATATTTGACTGTGCTTGGTCGGTTTCCTACGACTTACGACTCCACGATCATCTATGAATTCTATGTAAACGAGCTAAAGTCTATCCAAAAGATAGGTTAGATTCTATATAGTTTGTTTCTGTTACTAATAATTGGTTGGTATAGCAGACTAGCAACAATCACAACAACATAATTTGTTGTCACATTTACCGATCACTGGTTAAGTATTGGTGACTTGCTAAATTAACAAAATCTTTTCTCTCAGTGCGAGCAAAACTTAAACCCTATAAATTGGAAAATTAATAGTATAATTAATAATAAGTACGTACTTAAATCTCATAGTCACTTAAATACGTAGTGGAGCACAAAAAATCACATTCTAAAGATCCATTAGTATCATCGATATTATCGATATGACATGAGTTTCCATCGTAATAATAAATATGCGCTGCATCGTGTGATGAGCAATATTGTAGCGAGCGCAATAATATCGTTCCAGAATTGGTCCCCTTTCATCGAGATATCTTTCAAAAATTTCGAAGGGTATTTATAATGACAGTAAAACTCACCCTTTTCTTTACAGTCTAGAATGGGTCTGTCCAGCCCATAGATAGCCCCGACAAACCTACGGCAGTTAAATTAACATCGAATAGTATTAATGTTAAATGCTTTACATTTATATAATTTTGAATTAATAAATTTTAGATTAATTTATCATATTATATCAAATAATTTTCATTTACACAATTCTTTAAATATAAACCATAAGTATATAAAATTATGTGAAGTTTTATTATAAATATGAATAATTGAAAATATATATATACTATTGAAAATACACGTGATAAATAAGTGTATATTGCTACTAAATAATACAAAATTTACAAAGTAATTCTTACCCTTCGAGACCATATCGTAAATAACTCACATAGCTCCCCCACTTAAGATAGCTTGGTAGATCACGTAATGATACTCCGAATCCAGCGAACATCATTAGTGGACATGCCAACGTTGGCCCTATAAAGGTGCCATTCTGCAAGTTAAAATGTTTCTTCCATTAATTTTACTTCAAGTTGAACGTTTTTATGGAACATTTTGCAATAAATGCAACACATTCTTTTTATAGAGCGAATTGTTGATACTTGCAATAAATCTATATAACATATCAATAACATAATAAAAAACAAATTAATGACACGTTTGATAATATTAAAGTTAAAAGAAATTGATAATAAATTAATAAAAGGACCGAACATTGATAAAAGATACTAACTGTACATATAATTAAATAACAAATATTATGGCTTACGAATACTATCATTGATAATTATCAGCAACAGTTTTAATTAATACTTGATTACTTACCACGACATTAAATACAGCACCTATCATAAGCCCGGTACCTTGTCCTATAAACATGATTAAAAGGCTAATGGCGAGGAACATAGAAAATCGAATAATTTCCCATGGTTGCGCTGACATAAAATAGACGATTATCGAGAAAAGTATACAGCACATTATCGAAATGGGTACGTCAATCAACGTTATCGCCGTGTAAAACGCCTTTAGACTGTACCATCGGTTAAAGTGCTCCTTTATGAGGATAGACATTTGCATTGGGACTGCGAATCAAAGATAAGATGATTAATAAAACCATAAAATATGTATTACAATAGGAGTCGACGCTGGTTATCAGTTAGCGCAATTTTTCTTAATACTAAATATATAAACCTGAACTTTGTTATATATTTAGTATTAAGGTCAAAGATAAGATGCTTCTTTCTGTTATACAAACTCACATTTGCGAAAATTAGTCATCGCGAAGTCACGGTAAGTCATTTACGAAAAGTACGCGGATACTTACAGGTAACTACCGTGAGCATCATCGTCGTCATCATGTGGTGTATGAGGATAGCAAATAGAAGATTATAATTGTCCAAAACGCGGGAACCATCGGCGCCGGATCGCAGGAAAACAGTGCCCAGCATTACACCGACGAGTATGTTAACAGCGATACGTAAATGTGTCAGAGTCTACGATATATGTGCACAATATATTGTTAAATAGAATTCGTGTGACCGTAATGCAGGCGTTTTTTACGTCAGATCGGAAACGCTTGGAATTAAAAAAGATTTCGAATAATTTTTGGAACTTTCAAAGAGTATGTGTATCGTTGATTAAAATCATCATTGACATGTATATTAAAATGTAATAGATAAACAAATAATTCTTACCGTATCTCGTTTACACATGATAAAGCCTCTCCTTAGCAAGATCTTGATTTGATGAACGAGATTTGTCGCGTGTAAGCCGCTGTCATCATTTATTTCATTTCTCAGAGGATGTTCCGCTGAAAAAAACCAAAAATTAAATGCAATGTTGCTTACATAAATTTAGAGTAACTGCAATAAAATTTCAAGCTTAACAATATATTTTAATTAATGCAACGGTATTTAAAATAAGAATAAAATAAATATTTAAATATTATATACTTTATTATAAATAAATACTTTTCAATATATGTATATTAAGGGGTTATGCCTACCTGTAAACTTCAAAAAAATCGATTTTTGGATTTTGATATTTTCTTAAAGTACATACTTTCAAAAATATTCCCTATAAATTTCAAGTCGATTCGACAAAAATTGACGAAGTTATGTGAGTTTAAAGGTATACAGGTTTGAACGTTTGAAGCAGGTATTTTACGTGAAATTGCGTTTTTTTTTTTTTTTTAATTTTGTACAGTCCGAACTATTGGGGGAAAATGTAGGGGATTTGATTCTAGCTGTTAGGGGTTTTTAGGGGATTCTAAGATATCTTTTAAGAGACGCCTTTCAAAATCACTTCGCAAACTTCAAACGCATTTTTCTCAAAACCGCATTTTTAAAATCGGTGACCAAAATATCTCGAGAACCGCTGCATCGATCAAAATGAAATTTGGTAGGCTTCTTTAATACTAAAAAAATCTAGTACCCGATCGTGGTTTTTTTTCGTTGCGTATTTTTTTTTACTGATAAAAAAACGAGCGAACTTTGGTAGAAGAATCGTATCTTCGAATTTAAACAACCGCCATTTTGTCGCAAATTAATTTTTCAAAAAAATGAACGATCGGGCACTAGATAATCTTATATATTAACTAAATTTGTTGGGTTTTTTGATTTGAGATAAACCAACTCAAAGCTAGAGTGGTCATCGCAAAACGCTTCTAGAAAAACTGCTTCTAGGAGATTACTCATATCTTCCTTATTTATCGATATTTTGCAATAAAAAAAATACTGAATTATCCTCGAAATATATATATTTGAAAACATAAATGTTCATTTCAAAAGCAGGCTCGCCTGCTAGGCCACCCCCGCTCCTCGCGGCCCGCGCGCCGTGCGCCCACTGTGGGCCGTACCTTCGGCAATAGTAGGTCGGGCGGACGCACGTATTCGGCTATCTTTAAACGTTAATATCTCGTTAACTATTGCTGACACCGCAAAATAGTACAGGACTTTTCGACTCAGTATAGTCTGTTCTACCCACGCATGAAACATTTGGCGGTAATTTCCAGACACCCTGTATACGTATGTATAATATTAGATATATGTATATACATAATGTATATGCATATACATATAATATTATGTATAGGATATCTGGTAAGTTTGGACAAAGAGCTCACGAGTAGGTAGAGCGGATCAAACTGAGTCGAAAAATCCTCTATCATTTTACAATTTTCGCAATAATTAACAAGATATTAGTTACTATATATTGCCGAATATTGGTCTTTAATAATTTTTTACTCAAGTACTATCAAAACTTTACAGGAAAATGGCAAAAAATAAAAATTGTTTTCTTCTTATAGAGCTGTAATAATTTTTTCAGAATTTTTTGTCAACCTTTTAGTACTGCATTTTCTTATTCATATACAGTCGACAACTATTTTTACCAACATGAGAAAATACGGTACTAAAAAATTCTCAGAACTTTATGAGAAGAAAATAAACAATTTTTGTCTCTTGCTGTTTTTCTGTAATATTTTGATAGTATTTGAGTAAAAAATTATTGAAAACCAATATTCGGCGATTTTTAGTAATTAATATCTTGTTATTGCGAAAATTGCAAAATGGTAGAGGACTTTTCGAATCAATTTAGTCCATTCTGCCGCTATGCAAGAGTTTTATCATTAATTATATACTCTGTATATACACAGTAATATTTTTTTAACAAATAATAAAGATGATTGTTGTAAAATTACATAGTTTTATTATCATAGTGATTTTTATTTTTTTTTTCCTAAGTACCTCTTAAACTTTTCGCATCCTTCAAGGTTTCTGGATTGTCGAACCACTGCAAATTTCGTCCATTTTGCGACCCCATTATCAACGTATTGATTTTCTCGTAACCGTACTCGCCACAAGCAAGCTCAATTACTACAATATATCGATATTAGCTGATCAAACGAATGAAATTCTCGAGTAATTTATAAAAAATAATTATACGCGTACTGTAATCTGCCGGATTATGATACATAGGACATGGCAGTTTCATATTTTCCAGATATGGCAAGAGTTTGCTCGTTGCTCCTTGATACAGACAGTCTCCATTCGTCAACACATACACCTGCAAGAATTTTGATTTTCTTATTATTCTAATTATAAACACATATTACTAATTGTCAGTAAATTTTAAACTTAAATTGTACATTGTAAACACAATGTTACAATGTAACATACATGTAACATGCAATGTCAGCTCAACAACACTGTGTGTTATATTACAATAATCTTGTTGAGCAATTGACATTGCATGTTATATTTATGTTACATGTAACATTGCGTTTACTGAGTAAAAATGAGATTTAAAACAATTTGTGTACTGATATATCGCGCGAAACAATATTATTAATTATCTTACATGTTTTTAAGCAGACTTTTATAATTTTTTATAGTAATTTCTGTGATTATTTACTTACCTGGTCGAACAATTGAAATAAAGATGCACTGGGCTGATGGATAGTACAAATTATTGTTCTTCCCTGTCGAGCCAATATTTTTAGCAAGTTTACGACTTGCATGCAAGATGAACTATCCAGACCTCTGTAACAAATACGACAAATATAACAAGACATTAATAAACAATCCTTTATTGGTATTCCATCAATTGTTACTAATAATTTTGACTAAAAATTAGGAATATTAGATGTTACGTATTATACTTCAAAAAAAGATTAATACGTGACAATTACTCATAGAGACGTTAATGTGCAATATAATGTGTAAAATAATTGTGAATTCTCGTCGCGGCGAATAAAAACTAGTACTACGATGTAACAATACATATATGTCGATAAAATATACAGCAATAAAATAATAAAGTAAAACAAAAAATAATTAAAGACCCTGTTTATTTTTACTAAATAAAGAAACTCTACTAAATAAAGAAGATAAAGAAACTCTATCAATTTTAATAACGAAATAAAACAATATTAAAAATATATTAATATAAATAACTTCTAGATAAATAAATAAATAACTAAATTGCTCGAAATGAGGTTTTTCTTTTTATAAGATGAAAAAACTAGTTAACAGAAAGATTTAACGTAAATACGTTTATTTGCGTTTACGTAAATGTGTTTATTGAGTGTTTATTGAGAATAAAAGATGAATACTAAGAAACAATTAAAGATATTAAATTGAAGAATTTAAATCTTTTTAACAGCCATTAAATCTTTTTAAATCGTAAAATAAATAAAACGGACAAAAAAGTTAAACAGCATCGAATAATCAAGGTTACATTGAACTTACGTAGTTGGCTCGTCCAGGAACATCACTGTGGGATTATTGACTAATTCAAGAGCTATGGAGAGCCTTTTTTTTTGACCGCCACTTAATCGACCGGATCTCGTATTCATATGTTCGTATAAGCCAAGTGTCGTAAGAATATCTTCGATCTAAAATTGTATTAATTTTTTTAAAGTACCATAATTAATTTACTTTAAACCAGCTCAACATTAAATCTCATTTGTTATCAATTAATATATAGGATTAAAGACGATTAACATTGGTGCAAATTAGATAGTAATAAACATTTTTATATTATCTTTGGTAAATGTTTACCTTTACACTGTCAATTCCAAATAATCTCCAACTGATCTTGACCTTGACTTTCAAAGAGGTCAAGGCCATTGACCTTTTCTGTCGCTCGTTATTCATTAAAAAGTTATGAGCAGAACAATTTTTATGAATAGCACACAATTTTAAAAAATAAGGTACATATTTCAGTAATATTTTCCCTTGATAGAGAGAGGTAAAAATCATGCGCCCCCAAACAGGATGGAGGTAGGATGGAGTCGCTTCGGGTGAAAGTCGTGTGCCCCCAAGCAGGGGAGGATGAGATGGGAATCGCTTCGGTTGAAAGTCGCACGCTCTTAAGCAGGAGGGGGGGGGCGTGAAATTAGAGGATTAGAAACGTAGATATTCGCATCCACCATTTTTACTCCTTTTCTGTGACGGGTTATGGTCATTACAGGTTATGATTTGTATTCGCTTGAAATTTTGTAGCTCCTTTCATTCATACAAGGAATTAACTTGTTTCCAACAGCTTAGAACAACCGTAACGACGATAATCTTCTCAGCTCAGTGGGACAGAGCAAGGATAGGGGAAAGGAATAAAAATGGTGGATATGCGAATACTCACGTTTATAGTGCCTTAGTGGAATGGGAGTCGCTTCGCACGGAGAAAAATGTACAGTAAATATCACTAGAATTCTAGAAAACTTTATGGAATTATCAATATTTATATAGGGATACGTGCTCACTTATGTAAAATTTTCTTTGCACTTCTGGTAAATGAGATTGTCGTATGATAATCATTCTTACCTTATTGACAACAATTTTTTCTTTAGGATTGACAAAATTTACTTTACTGCATAGCTTTTTGTGCTCGTCAATCTTGAAAATAATACGATTTACTTTACTGTAGGTATAATTTACTTTACTGAAAGTATAATTTATCTTTCTATAAGATAATAATCACTTGAAACGATGTACTATAATCATAATGTACTTTTTATCTTACATCTCCGGTATTTTTTACTTTTAGGCAAATAAAATTTATCACAAATTCGGTAAAAATAACCAGAATATTTTTATTAGTCTTGGAAGGTATCCATCTCTAAATTATTTTTCTCCGTGCGCGTGGAAAGTCGTGCGCTCCTTGGCAGGGGGCGAAGCGATTCCCACCCCATCTCTCCCCTGCTTAAGGGCGCGCGACTTTCACCTGAAGCGACTCCATCCCACCTCCTTCCTGTCAAGGGACGCACGACTTTACACGTGAAGCGAGGTCTCACTTTCATCTCCTCCTGTCAAGAAAAAATCCTGCTGAAATATGTGCCTTATGTTTAAAAATTATGTGCTATTTATAAAAATTGTTCTGTTCATAACTTTTTAATAAATAAAATTATTCACCCGAAGCGACAGAAAAAGTTAATGATCTTGACCTCCTTGAGAGTCAAAATCAAGGTCTAGGTCAATTGGAGGTCATTTGGGGCTGACTGTGTAAAGGTAAACATTTACTTTAAATAATAATTCTAAAGTATGTAATTATAAAGTATAATTATAAAGTATATTAATTAAATATTAGATCTGGCAAAGCACTGTAATAATTCTATTTTCTTCGATAAATTCTAGTCAATTTCATGATGATTTCTTTCTTAATAAATTATCGGGACCTTGAATAAGTTCTCGCTGTTTTCCAACAGATTATGTTAACAGAACTGCGTGCATGTAGTTGAAGATGGGAACACATCGATAAGGAACTATGATAAGCAAGCTTGAAATTCAGTGTATGTTATCTCGCCGAAGTGTAAACAACTTTTTGTTTCATAGTGTTAAACATATCGAGTTTCGTGCCAACAAAAGAGTATTTGCGGAGAATTTTACTGCACTACTTTATTCAAAAAAAATCTGCGGCTGAAGCACACAGAATTCTTGTTGAGACTTACGGCCACCAGGCTCTGTCGGAAACAACATGCAGAGATTGGTTTAGACGCTTCAAAAATAATGATTTTGATGTTGAAGATAAAGAACGCTCTGGCGCACCGAAAAAGTTTGAAGACGAAGAATTGGAGGCATTACTACATGAAGACTCATGTCAGACGCTAGCTGAACTTGCAGAATCATTAGGA